CTGGCAGAGGTAACTGAGACTGTTAAAACTACACTTTACTGAACATGCATACACTGTTATTGGAAGTCAAGGCAAAATGAAATAAACAGTAAATATACTGTATGTATATATATATCGATCGATCGCTAGATATACACACATCTCTGAAACACAGTCCCATTTCCCTATGGTTTAAATGCAAGTACAGAGAAAGTATGTGATGTCTGCCCTGCCTACTTTATTTTGTCATAGATTACAAAGAACACAGACCTCTGCTCATCTCCATAACCCCTAAGGAAGTTATCAGCTCACAAGATTTCTGGCAAAACCAATGTGAATTCTTTGCAACTATTAAACAATACAACAAAACACTTTGAATGGTATATTTAGCAGGCTAAAAGAAAAAGGAGAAGCTTGTTATTAGGGTTTAACATTAAAATTTAGATCTGATTTTGGGTCCATTTTAATTCTTCAAATTAAGTCACATTTTCACTGGAACTGAAAGACCTGTTAATTATTCACACTGGTGAATTGAACACAACTGCTGTGCACTGTGAAAGACACACTACTGTTACATTACCTATAACAATGGAGCATTTCTATACCAGGGAGAAGGTGAATAGCAGGAATTTAAATCATCATCTCAAACATCTGAAGCACTAACTCCACTTTGTCATAATGGCTGTTCAATTTCAAAATGCCTTTTTTAATCTTTATGACTTTACAAAGATCTAATAATAAAAGAGGGCATGAAATAACCCGGGCATTTGAAAAGAGCAATGCTTTTAGCGGCAGTAATTGCTTCTCGATGTCCACAGCCCATCTTGAGTTTTCATTTTGGCCGATCAACCCCTTTTAAAACAGCTAAAACATTAATCAGCACAAATCACTAAAGGAACAGTGCGCTCTCCTTGCCATTAATCGGAAGTTTATGCAGCTTGATGAATTTGCTCTAAGTGGGAACATGATAATGTAGGCATATTGCTTAATACTGCACAAAAAGTGGGTCAGTGAGTAATATCTTCTTTCCATGCTATGGTTTCCATTCTGGATTCCAGTTCTGATTTTATTGTGAAAGCCTAACTAAAAGTGTAAACACTGCTGATGTCCTGCATGCCCATTTCTAGGTCTCAGAGAAGAGAGGAAACCTGCTTATTGTGATGTAATGCGGCCAGAAAAATAGCTGGCACCCCTTCACAAAAGCCCTGGGCACAAAATGTACTTGGTGTCTGTAAAAGAAGAATCACAAGAAGCAAAGGAGTGGAAAGGCAGAACAACGTAAGGTCAAGTATCCAGATGTTTAGCTACAACTTAACACTGGACGAGGGATATACAGTACATCAATTACTAAACCTATTAGAAGTGTTGTATTGTTATGAAGCTCCAGGTCAGTTGTAAAAAGACAAGCCTTAGTCCCTACAGGAAATTCACTGAAAAATTCTAAACCCACTTTAAAGCGGACCTTTACACTCAAAAATCAAATTCTACCAATGCATCCCTCTATGTATGATGATTAATAATAACAAAGACATGTCAGGTGTAAAATGTTTTTTTTTTTTATATTTACACTTGCAGACCATTCACTTCCTGCTTTGAAAGGGCAAAATGACTTCAGTTTGCCAAAGCAATGCTCACACAAAGATATGGGTAATGGTCTGCTTTAAAGTGCTATGTGTAACAGCTTTTAATCCTTTTTTATGTTACCTGCAAACCAGGTGAATGCCCACATCAGGCTGACATTGGGATTTATTCCATTGCATTTCTATAGTGCTTTTCTCCCTAGGAAATTAAAATGTTTTATTTTCCGTCAGGCCACGTGATGAGTCTGCTATCTTGGGCATGCTCAGTAGAATATCAGATTAGGGCCAGTTTTAGAAAGAAACCAATTAACCTATCAGCATGTCTTTGAAGTGTGGGAGGAAACTGGAGTACCCGGAGGAAACCCACGCAAGCAGGTACCGAATGAAACCCACACAAGCAGGTACAGATTGGAGGCAAAAAACTTTGCAGAGAGAAATTTGATTGTGCTAACCAGTAGTCCACAAATGCCAGAAGTCATCACACCACCTTGAGTTGGACAGGTGAGGGCAAAACTGCATGCAGAGGTGGAGGTTTTTCCTGTGGGCTTGGACTACCAGTGAGAGTTCCCCCCTGCGGAGGTAGAGGGCTTAGGGGAGAGAAGAAAGTGTTGGCACTTTTTCATGAATGAAAAAAAAACAGTAAGCCCCAGTTTGCAACAAGACTCCTTGACTTTCTTAAGCTGAGGCAAAATGTTACTCTTTGCCCCAGTGAGGTTCTTGATGATCTCCTCAAAGGGATAACACAGTCCCTGACTGATTTAATGAGAGCTGAAACTACCTCTTTCATTTGGAGCAAGGTCGAGGCAGCTCATCATTGCTCCCAGAGAGTGCATCTGAATCTGATCCCTTGTTTGTCACTGAGGCTTTGATCACCACCTGAGATGACTCATCTTCTGAACCCTCCATTAGCACAGAGGGAGAAGGAGTCAGACTTTCTTTTATGCAGTTGTGACTGGGCACAAGTGTGCTCCACTCGGGAAATGAAGCCTTTCAACATGACCGCCAGGGAATCTAGAGGTGTGAATGGAGCTGGGAGTCCTGAGGTTAGGAGGGGGGAACTGGAGGACGAGAATGATATAGCAAGCAATGGCTTACAGGTTTGGCCAAATGGCTCCCGCCACCACCATAACACATTTGGGACAAAAAAAAAAGAGGACATTTGTACCACAGCATGTCTGCAAAAAATAGGCACGTGTTTCTGCGTGCTCCGGGAATGTGCGCAATTCCCCTGGCTCACAGCTGTGAATGGGGGCTTACTTTCTAGAGCCCTCTTATATAAACATTAGGGATGCACTGATACCGATACTAGTATCGGTGTCGATACCGAGCATTTGGGGGAGTACTCGCACTCGCCCAAATGCTCCGACACTTACCCTCGATTCTGGAACTAACGGTCACAGGGAGATTTCCTCTGACCGGTAGTGCCGCGAGGGAACATGGAGCCGGCTTCCCAGCTAATCAGGAAGCCGTGCGGCTCGTAATGACTCGTCGTCCAGCTTCCTGATTGGCCTGGAAGCCGGCTCCATGCTGTTTGGCTGGCTTCATGCTAATTGGCTGGGAAGCTGGCCCATGCTAGCGGTATCGGTACTCGGCAAGTACCGAAAGATAAATATCGGTACTCGAACTTGATACCGAAAAACCGGTATCGGTGCATCAATAATAAACATGCAACAGGTGTTTCTAAGCTTTTGTCCATAAAGAGACGCACTTATTGCTTCCTCCAAATAAAATGTTATTTTAATCCATGATATAGCATGCACCTTCCAAAGCTCCCCGGAAGGGAAGAAACTCTCTCCTTGCATGTTTCACCCACAGGGCTCAATCATAGGAATTGCCTTCTTTGTAGAACGCATGAGTGCAGCTCTTTTTTACAAAAAATTAATAGAGGTGGGAGCGAGCCTTTTGCTAGCACCTGGAGTTTCCTCTTAATATGGATCTGACTGTGGAATCTGAGCGGTTAGTGTTGTGAACTATTTACGTGTTACCAAGATGTTAGAAACTGAAACCGGACTTTCTTCTGATTTTTTAGATTGAATTACTTCATAATACGTATAGAGAGGCCAGGGTTGGCTTCGTTTAAAGGTCTTTTAACTCTCGATAAGAATATGTAATGCCCATAGTCTGGGCACAGGTGCATTTAGGGCAGATTCAGAGAATGCCGTATCATTTGCTTCTTACAGAGCCTGGGGAGATTCATTGGTGGTGTAAGTGCTCATCTATAAGAATCCTTGCAATCCATCTAAATGATGAAATTACAAAACTTTGAGAAATTAATTAGAAAGGTGATAGGCAATCTGGTCCATTGTCTGGAACTAAACAGTTATAATGGAAACAGCTTAAGCAAAGAGTATGTTACAAATTGATGGTGTAATGCAGGCACTGATGAACTTATCTAACCCTATTTTAGACAGAGAAAATGAGACAATGTGCAATATGGAACTCATGTAGCTTGTCTGACGTGCCTTGGATGTGCCAGTGATCCTCATTCCACTTTACAGTGGTATTTCTTCATAGATATTTTTCTTTATATATGAAAAACTATGAAAAAAATAAAAAAAATGCTATACTTTGAGTTTGGATGAAAATAAGTGAAAAGAATTAAAACTCTGTTGACCGCATAGCCTTTGGTCATGCTGGTGGTTTATCCATGTCCTGTAGGACCTGCATTCCCTTTGCCATTTGGTATTGATTTGCTATTAATTCAGCACTGCAAACAACTAACCGGGTCCAGGTTTGATACTGTTGTAGATAGGCATATCTATAATTAAAAAAACAGCATTTGTTCTCGGCATGAGTTCATGCAGTTGGTGAGGCCATATAGGTGCTGCCATCTTTAGACTTCCACCTGTGATTCTTACCTCCATGAGCATAATTACCAACTGTCCTCCTTTTTGCAAAATAGCTCTCTCCCCACATCCACTTTGTAAAGTGTCCCGTGAAATGTCTCTCTAAAACAGGTCAGTAAACCACAAGCAAAGCACACTAAATTTTTTTCAAACCATAGGAACATACCCTCTTAGTTTGTCAGTAAAGGACTGTGTGAATCCAAATAAAGGGATACATTCTGAAGGCTTTATTTACAGACGTTTCTGAGAAAAGTGTTCTGTCTCTATCTGTTGTCCATAGCAGCTACTGAGATCCTTCTCATGCTATACAGTTTGGTGGCATTTGGAATGTTGATCGCTGAGATCAGTTAGTGTTTCAGGTCGCAAGTAGTGGGGATGTGACAGCACCTGCCCAATGGGTGTTGTCTCTTACAGGTACAAGTTGCCATTCTGGATTGCATTATTTTCAACTTATTCAAAGCATCAACATACAGATGTGGGGGAATCCATTCATAATTTGGGGCACATTCATTTTCATTATGGAAATGATGAGATAATGTTACACAGGTACAGTTATAATATTGAACATGACAAAGCTAAACAATTCAATTAGATCATTTGATATTTCTGAACATGTGCGCCATGTTTGAAGGTTGAAAAGGAAAATTACACAGAAAATTGCAACACCTGCAGGCTGAAAGGCCTTCCCATGATTATTAAAATGTAAACAAATAAAACATCACAAAGACCCGACATTTGAGTTTTAAAGTAAACACATGCCACCGCAATAGTAAGATAAAGAACTGTGAATGGAAAAGGGCACTGAAAGGATATTTGAAAAACGTTATGCAATTCTTTATGCAACATCTATGACAAAACGGTTAATAATTTCACTGAAGTTACTATATCCGAGAGGGCACTTCAATACATTATGTCCATTCATGTGTTTGCACATTAATAAACAGAAAGTATTAGTGTCTAAGTTCAGCGGCTCTATGCAATAAAAGGAGACAATTACAGCAACATTTGCCCTCAAAATTGCTCAGCAGTCATTCTTTATTACATCCAGTTTTTCTGGGAAGCGAATAATGTCATAGTGCTTCAGACACACATATTACTCATCAGGTAAACAAACTGTCCCGATAATTAACCTGATATTTAGAATACAATATGTCTCGGAAATACCAGCTCTCACACAGCTGAAAGAAATAAATACAAGTCTTTGTTCACTCCAGAACATACAGGAAATAAGAGATATTCCAATATTTGGTGGCAATGTGTAACCAGGAACAGGTAGTTCTCTTTAACTGAACGTAATTCCAAGTATCAAGATACCCATATGGTTTTACAAAATACTGGTATTCAGACTTGATTATGGCCATTTCTATCCACATAGTGCAATCTGGAAACAAATATATAAGTGGATCTAATCCTCTGGAATTGGAGTATTGCAGTTGCCATGATATATCTTGATGTGGCTTTCGCATTTGTAATACTGATCAAAGATATCAGCATAACCATGATCCTTCCACCAGGTACACAGTTGTCTATTCCAGCCACAATCAAGGACATAGAAGAGTTCTGGATGCTCCATCCCAATCATTGAGAAGAAGTCTTGGTCGCCTAAATGTCCCTTGAAGTGATATTTTTCAGCAAGCTGACTTACAGCATTGGGTTCCAGTAGCTGGTTGTAAAGTTTGGATTGGTGCATGGCTTCCAGGTTCAGCAGCATCACTCCACTGTTAAACCCAGGCAATCCTTCTGGGGGAGGACTACCTACCTTGGTGCTTGGATTCTCACGACGGTACTGCCAAAATGTATGTCTAAAAAGATACAAGAAGAAAAAAATTAGGTTAAATCCAAGTGCAGATACATCCAATTATAGTGCTGTAGCTGTCTATGCAGAAAGGCAATAATTGCACTGAAAGATGCATTAAATCAAAACCGTTATATAAATACCTGTAATAAATAAATAAAAAACAGAAATTCACATTATGTACTGATATTATACAAGTAAACTCATCATTATTCACTAAATATAAACGCAATCACACATTCAAAAACTGAAATATTTGAAAATAAATTATTTTTCCTGCCTGTGCCACATTCTTTCCCCCCTGTAAATCACATACCAAGTTAGGTTAATAAAGACTCCATAATGACAGTTTGTGTCTTCTTGACAGGAAATAATGTGTGCCTAATAATATAGCTGTCCACTATGTTATTTTAATTTTAAAGCCGATCTCCAGGTAAATAAAAACCCTCAACTGCTCGATAATGTCTAGGGTGAATGTCTTTTACTTACCCAATTCCTGTTCCCCTGGCATTCGGTGCTCACCTCTCTCCCCTACGTTCTATCCCATGGCATATTCATATATAATGCAGGGATATGGGCTCTACATTAGACGTGATGGTGTCAGCGGGCCTTTGTGGGAAGAGGCTGCTGGTCTTGTAGATTGGAGGGAGCCAGCAGGAGAGCAGGGGATCAGGTAAGTTAAAAGTGCTTTACACAGCCCCCTAAATATTAAGAAGCAGTTAACCCTTGTACAGTGAGGGTGTAGCCTCGCTGCAAGGGGTGGTTTTCTATAACTTGTAACCTGTCATCTATAGTTGGTACTAAAACTATTTTGCATCAGAATATGAAAGTTGTGTATTTTATACTTAGTGGTTATTTATCCAATATTAGTGGCATCACTATGGCATACATACATAAAGGTGAAGAATGAATACTATTCCACAATGATACTGGTATGCAAAACATAGGCAAAACTGTATGAAGGTGCTAAATATTTTCTAATTCCTGACGTAAGCTAAAAGAGTGACTAGCAAGTTTTAAAACAGACGCTAAGGATTTCCAAGCTTCAAAAACATGTAAATGTTTGCACCTTTGTGATACAGATTAAATCTATTAATGTAAATTCAATTGCACTTAGAGAATGCAGATCCAAACCATGCAGCAAGAGAATGATCCTGGAATGCAGACAACAGTAACAATGATCTGAAACGTACAGGGTTATCACAAAAGGGGGAAGAGTTCCGAGCAGGCAGGAGAAGTGATCAATCTAGGACAAAAAAAGCCATTTTTGAAAATTTCTCCAATTCAGCTCACTTTTCAGTTCAGCTATGTTGTCCTAGATTGTTCACTTCTCCTGCCTTCCCCAAACTCATCACCCTTTTGTGAATAACCCTGATAAAGTGACACTAAACTCAGGAGTTAAACCTTAAAAATACATTCAAGGACCTTAACTATTAACAAAACTGTATCTCATTTGTGTATCACTCGGCTGTAGATCCTCCAATCATCTCAGAATTCATGCTGATACTGTCCTTCCTTCTGGAGGGTGGCTACTTTTGTTCCCCATGGTCCCTCTGTGTGTTACAGAGTAGTCACCGCTCCAAGCTCACTCCCGTGATTGACTACAATCTCAATACAAATTAGTAAACAAAACATGAGAATGACATGTGCATATATAAATTATTTTTTACTTTATATATAAAAAAAAAAAAGGTTCACAGTTTTGGCAATAATATTGTGTACATAGTGTAGCTAAGGAGTGAAATACAATTTTAGTGTGGAACAATTTTAGAAAGTGGTATGTCTGTCTCTTATCTTTAATAGCCTCCTCTGCACTATATTTCCTGAAATTTTTTTTATAAAACTTTTTTTGACGTTTCCTTTTTTTAAACTATTTATAACTTTTAAAATCTGTTTAAAACTTTTTTTTTTTTTTAACTAGGGGGGCACTAAAGGGATCATTTTTCTATTCACAAAGGCTTTGGATACTTAGTATTCTAAGAAGACACTGTATTCTCTTCAGAGGTACTTTGTATCACTTTGTAGCACACTGATCCAACTTGCTCAGCTCCACAACACAGTGTGATAAGCTGCAAGGCTGTAAAAACAAAACATTAAGCTGACCATATGTTTAATGAATTGCAGCAGGTTCTTGAAAAACTGTGCAAAATGTGCTTGTTGTATGACCCTGTCAGCAGCCCACTGCCCTACATCCTTCGATCAGAAAATCAAAGGAGCTGGGTTGAAAAATGGTGGCCAAACAGTGACTATAGCCAATCAGCTGCAGCTACTGTTTTGTATTGTGACAGCACACCCTCTGTTGTTAGAATACAATGGCCGCGGTGGGATATTGGCCATACACTGTTAGATTTTTTATTCGGCCCACAAGAATCTAGCAGATTCCTCCAGTTGTAGCCCTTTGCTGTGGTACTTTAACATTCAAGTTCCAATCATCCTTGTATGAGGCAGTGGTGAAGAATCAAAATACAGCTTTGACTAGGGCTCTGTTCAGTGTTCTGTTAACATACATATTACAAAACATCCAGCACTTTGACACTGCTAGGAACATAATATGGTACAAGCTTTAATCATTCACTGAAAACCCTGGAAAACAATGCAAAGGAAAACCTGGATGTGAGGAAAAGGCAAGCTATAGTACACAATTATACATCTTCTAGTGCAAGCTAGAGAATGACTAAGAATCCAATTACAGGCAAGATTTGCACTCTTCTTTGCTCTCGTATACACAAGGTCAGCTGCTATTGCTGCTGTTGTTTAGCAAACACACCAAAAGAACAGTACAAGTGACAATACAAAAAAAGCAAATACTAAACAAAGTTCAGGTTTATAGCCTTTCTACGGGACCATTTAATTACCAACAGAAATTCAACATTCAGATGATTAGGAACATGCCACTATAAAAGAAATAATTGTACTTTCAATACCAATTTAATCAAGGCTGCTTTCAACAACACCGATGTTAATTATGTCTCTACCAGTGTAATCATTATATAGTAACAAGTGCCTCTCACTTATCACTTCCCTTTGAAAAACTGTTTCCCTCAAGTGTTACTTTACTTTGTTCTGCAAAAGTGCTATGACAGTGGCTGCTTCGTTCTATAGTTTACACCTAGAAGAGCGACTGTGATTTGAGAAAACACAGCAATTTATTTATAGGTCCAATATATATCTATGTAGAAAGAGTTCATTTCATCCATACTACAATGTATTCAATTTGAGTATATTATTCTATTTGTGGACATTCAGATTGGCTGTTGTAGAATAGATTTTTACTTTCACAATGCATTGTTCTATAATTTCAGATGACATCATGTCTGCCAGTAGGAATCTGTACACAGAGGCTTTCCTGCAGTGCCTTAAGGCCTGTGATTGTTCCTAGGACTGGGTACAAGCAGAGGCGTAACTAGAAACCCCAGGGCCCCCGTGCAAGAAACCATTGAGGGGCCCCCCCCCAATAAAAACATGATTTTGATACCTTTTTTTTTTTCTTCTATTAAATGAAAAGTATTAGGTACAAGGTAGCAAATCTCCTTGGAGGATAAAAGTGTCAACACTTATTTGAAATCATAAGATAAGATACCACACTTAGCCTAAGTTCACACTATTGCTGCTGCATAATTATAGGTTTTTCTCTGTGTTTTTGTAGCGTGTTTTATGCACCTTTTTGATGCTTTTTCATGTTTCCTTCTTTTAGCCAATTAAAAGCTGTGTCATCATTAGGTGTTATCTTTCTTTGAGGGGACTTTAAGGAAGAACTTCAAGGGTTAAGAGATCATTTTTGTCTAGGAACGAAAATAACAGAGCCGTACTCACTTGAACCTCGGAGCCAGTTGGCTGTAAGACCGGTTCCTGTAGCCTCGCTCCTCCTCTGCTCTGCTGGCCTAAGGTCCTGTGAGTCATCCCGTCCAATACACTGAAGGCCTGGAGTTTTCCTACCCCTGTTTTAGCAGGTGTGTTTTACATGCATGGGACCCTGTGTTGACCAGGTCACTTTAAACAGTCAGGAATCTATGCAGGAAGACTTCTCATGGCTGTGCGCAGCCCAACGATCCAGGCTGGCTA